CATTCAACTATTTATGCATATATACAAATTTATTATAATACCTTTTATTTATCTCTTTTTAATATTAAAATATATTTGGAATGTGTATAAATGATCTCAGACACAACAATATTATGTTCAACTAATTGATTATTAAGGCAAGACTAATGAAATCAGTTAATAAATTCTAATGAAAAAAATTAGGTTGAATAAAAATAGAATTATTAATTTGTGGAGATGTTGTACAAAAGTGTTTATAATCTCATTTATTAGTCTATTATAATTTTATAAATTGCTTTAAACATACTAAATACTTTGTGGTACAGGCACTATTTAAGTTACATGTTTTAGTGCCAGATAGAGATCAAAGCGTGAAGTCGTAAAATTATTGATCACAATGATCGAAAGCAACACTAGACTTGTATATAAACTATTTTAAAGATATAATTGAACCCACGTAGAATTGTTATAATTATATACGAGATAATATTAATAATGATTTACACTGTTACTCCTGTGAAGACTCGAAGAAGTTGCCTTGCCGTCACAACCCAAGGATATAAGTATAATTTTAGAACTACCATTATAATGAAGTACGGAACATTTAAAAAAAAAGCAAAAACGTTCACCATACAATAGTATCACAAAATGTTAAAAATGTAAATTTATAAAAATAATACTGAAAATAAAACGTGAATTTGAAATATATGTTTAAGGCCTTTCAATATTGCTTCGTATACTTAACACAATAATCAAGTATACAATTTTAAATACAGAATAAATAATTTACATTCACACTAAAATACAAATGATTAAGTACTTCTTAAGTACTGAAGATATAATGATTTATAGGAATAATAATTACTATACTAATGACTAAACATGGACGAATGAATTATGGATGGGACATAATGATTTCTACACATAAATATATCTCCAAAGTCTATTTGAAAAAATAATAGGAATGTCAAGCTGCTACGTTTAAAAATTACATAGACATTGAACACGATTATCCGAAATAGACAATACCTACTTAAAACACAAATTTTATAATAAATTAATATGCATTGTTTTTTATCTTTTTCTACAAATATTTGAGGGTTCCACGATAGTGACTTTATTACTTGGTACTAAATGCAACGGGCGACACCAATAAGCATCTAAAAAAGAATCAGGAAAAGTGCAAGAGATACTTCTACTATAGTTGTCCCGCCGCTACGAATGAACGAGTCATCAGTATCATTAAATTTCAGCGAAAAATAACTAATTCAAGTCATTTGTTTTCGTACTCGTAATGTCTTCCATATTTTTCTACTCATAGTCTAAAACTGTTATATTATTACTAACTCAATGATTTTGTATGGGGTAAGTTAATATCCTTAGTTTATTTTTCAATCTGTGGCTTTACTTAAAGACAAAACGTTAATATTATTCAAATATATCAGAAGTTGATGACTCATTCATGCTTTTCGACGAGACAAAGTTTTTCAAAGAAATTATACATCAAGTTAACGAGTAATTGGGTACTTTCCCTGAAAGTGTTACTATTACGTGTGGAGCATTAATACGAAGTATAGATTGGCAAAGTACATACTGATTATATTTCTTTAATTGCATTCGATTAAAATTTGATAATATAATGAAATAGTTCGTTCTGTTATTTTTTAGCTTAGCTTACTACATAATCTTTACTCCGTATTAGTACTATATTGTAGTATATAATAAAACATAACAATGCCATGCTGTAAACAACAGATACAAAACAATTGGCACAGCTTGAGTATTTAGCACTATGAAACAATTAAAAAGGCACTCGACTATTTTAATTTATCCGTATATTGCACGTGGCGTAGTTGTTATTGGGGTTGTAAAAAGAAATGTTAACCTCAATAATAAGACTGAAGCTAATAAAAGTAAAGTAGAAATCATTTAAAAACTTAAATTAGTTAAATTATAGCTGTATGAATTAAGTACTTCGTTTGATTATTTGTAGGTACCAAAAAAAAGCATCAATCAGTCAATTAAACTTATTACATTTTGTAAACTAATTAATACTTTCATAAAACAAAGCATATTTTTAAATAGTTGCATATGAGGTAATTGAGACCACTTTGTATAGGCGCTTTAATTATAATTTGTTAATTAAAATTTAATTATTTATATCCCATACATATATTATAAAATGAAATAGATGAAGTTGGTAATTGTTATAATTTGTTGATTAGTATTAAATATTAATATCCCATATAAGAATGAAGTTAGTTATTAATCTGTCCTCTCTGTCTGTCAGCTAAGTATTGAAGAAGATAAATTACCAAATAAAAAAATTACAAGCAAAAGTTTGTACATACTTTTCAACTTTTGAATCACGTTCGAGTTGATACAGTATGTTCGTTATAAACAAATATACAACAGCAATATACGGATGTCAAAACGAACTAACAGCACGAATGCCGTGGCCCCCCTCGCTCTATCAACAATCAGCTGTATTTTGAATTCAAACACAACAGTCGATACGTATGGGCAACTATATATTATGCTTTCCAATTTAATCTTAAAATTTCGTACACAACTATTATGCAACTCCATCTCATATTTATACATACAAGGTTCACCCGCCGCGTCTCGTTTATTTTAAAAAACTAAAACCCCTTTTCATGTAATTTTCATCCATTAATAGTGATTTGTGAAGAAGGTTTAGGTGTCTAAATCCTTAAAGTTTTGGGTGTATTAGTTGTAATACCCGTCATAAAGCAGGGCGGGTCACTAGTAATAATCTCTATAAAACGTAGTCTAAAAGAATACATATAGTTGCTCATAAGTTCGACTACAATATAATATAACACCTACATAACAAATCCAGTCTTTTGTTAGAAAATTGGAATTTGGACAACATCCTCGTAAATTGTTTTGGAAGATTTCATTAAAACTAAGCTGCTCATATATCAATATTTTTTGCTAGTATTAATGTGATTTCAGCAATAAGTTGGATATCGCAAGTAAACTATACATATAAGATAATACTAAACTGCATTAAATTAGAGCAGATCCTGTAGCAAATTATTTTAAGAGGCTTTCTGAATTAGGTTTGGGTTTAAATTAAACAACAGTAACAAACGACCAATCTATTACTTGGTAAAAAAAACCAAGCGTTACTATTTTGTTTTGTTAAGTTCAGATATGTGTTAGTACGCGGGGCACGTAGCATTTGCTACTATTGCTACTTGGGAATTCAACTTTAAATGTTTTAACTCAAAGTCGATTATCAAAAAATTATAAAGTAATGCAATTTAGTATTATGCGTGCGATTTAATCACATTTAGCCTATATATAATGAGCAAGAGGATCAAAGTTATATTATTTCGTCGACAGTTGATAAAGATCACTGTTTACTAGACTTTTCCTTCAAAAGTAAATTATTCATACACTTTAATGTAACATTCTACTAAAAACACAAGTATTATGGTTACGATACTAATTAATGAGTTATTTCGTAACTATTTCGTTATAACAACAAAATGGATCCGACCTCAAAGATTTTCCACAATGCTCGCGTTTATTATGTAAATATTCAAGTATGTAACCTCAAAAATAAATTATGTCTGTTTCAATTAAGGAACTAATTAGTTTTATATATTATACTATGGATAGACAATATATATATAATATAATCGCCGTGAAATGGTCCGCATAACAAATAAATATTAGATTAGTTATTAAGGCATACATCGCAGTTAGTTTCAGTATGAATATCACCCACATTCTACTAAATTTACTAAACTATGCACAGTCACTTCATATAAATAATTGTTATCAATATACTGGGGAGCATAAATTTAGTTTTATGCACAGTACCAGAATTACACGGTCAATGTTACCGTATGAGAACTTCATCGCCACATATTATTCCGATTTTAAATAAGGCACTAGAATAAATAGTTTATAACTATGTAATTAGTATGTATTTATATCATTTAACTTGAAACGGTAAGATACATATAAAACCTTACAACTTTAAATATGGTTTCCCAATATTGACTACAATTATCTGTTTATAAAGACGACTGTACATTCTGCATTTATAAATGAAATAAATAAATCACTTTTTATTTTATTAGAATTAAAGAACTTTTTTTCATATGTTTAAATGTATACAGTCCAATCACTGAGGCACTTTCGGACAATCACTTTCATTTTATTGCATCTTGATTATTATCAATATTTAAGTAATAATTTGAATGTTTTGTATTCTACTTTTTTAAGTACTTAAAAAAATCTCTGGAATACTGTTGGCTACCTAGTTAGACATATTTACTATTTGAATAAATTATTTTTAATACAGAACACTCCTCTCGATATAAATAATACAATTTGAATGGAATGTTTAGGTAAAAATAATGTGACTACTACAAGATTTAAATACTTATATACAATAGCGCTAGAAGACCACTAACTATACACATAGGATTCAGTTCTAATACTACATAAAAGTTTAGCAACCATTTATATATTTTCCTTAACTTAGACAATAACTGTTGAGCTCTTTTAGAACTATCACACTGGCAAGCCATAGTTTCTTGAAAAATGGCAAATCCATCGGCAATGAACACCGTAAAATTACAATTATACTAATAACGGTCCCATTAAATGATTGTAATTCCCCGAATAGGTTAATTTTAAAAATCATCTGGTACGAAATAAATTTTTTTGGAATGACAATCAGACTTGTACGCTTGACCCATAGTTTGTTCACTGCATCCGTAAATTCAAAAGACTAGGATGCAACACGGAAGAGAGTTGCCATTTTCGACACTAAACTGGGATATGGACATCAATATCAAAGTTAAACAATCTTTCTTTTAATTAACTTTCTCTTCATTTAGATATTTCAATGATTTACGAGTATGATAAGAAAACCTTATGTGAAAACATACGCAGAACAGTGCGAACTCGATCCCAGCCCGAGCCGTAAATGGTCCAGTGAAATCTCTCTACACTCCAAAAGCATTCACTGTTGCCGTTCAATAAAAATTACTACTTTATGTATTTGTATCTGTATATAATTTACATAATAATACAGCACCTTTGCGACCTGGAATCACCAACTACATCACTAGTATGTCCTGAGAAACGGGTCACTGACGCCGAACTCGAAGACATGCTGAGCGGGTTCAGTTGCACCGGCATATCCTTTGTTACCTCCGGTATTGAGTTCATACTGTGATTGTTTGAGGTGACACTGCTCTCCACCGGACTGCCGTTCGTTCTTATTTGTGCTCGTTGCTTCTTCAAGTCTGCAAGAGTGCCTGGAATATAACCAGGTGAGTGATCAGAGATTGCGTAACTTCACATTATTATGTTATATTTAACGTTCTTACTAGACAAGCATAACTGTTCAATGAATATTTGATTCAATGCATCACTTTCACTGTACATATAAAACATTATGCTTATCTACATTAGAATAATACGAGCAAATTATTGAGAATACAGTCATGAGCAATAATTTATGAACAGTTTAGAACCTTGTTACAGTAAATTTATTGATAACTTCATTATACAAACTTACCAATAAATTCTTGAGACAAAGCACATCTGTTCACATGTTATTGCTTAAGGTAATTAATAAACTAAATAATAAAATAATCATTATTGGTGTAAGTGATACAAATACAAAGCCCACATTAGATAATAGAAACAGAGAAAGATACATAAATAAGAATACACATGTAACTAAGAAATAAAAAATGTGCAAGTGCGTGAAAAAAAAACGAGATAAGTCTGACTAAATCGCATACGGCATCACAATAAGGAACATTCAACCCTAATGATGGTATACATAGTTTGTGAGTAGTACGAAACCTGATCAATACGATAACTCATACGAAATCTGATTAAACAATAACTATATAAGGTCTATTTAAAGTTGATTCAGGTACGGTACATAATTACATCAATTTGTATCGTACAAACAGTCAGCCGATCTACTCTGGAGTTTAATCTTAATATCGATTTAATTCAATACATTTTTGGAGTGCTGTTTTGAAACTTCACCAAAATTAAACCGAATAAATTGATAACAGTGTCAGTTAGAGCTTCCATTGAACACGAAATATGGAATTCATACGGTAAAAATACAAAAAGGTGTAAAGTGGCGTAATCCAATGTCATTGAATTTGAATTACCAGAGTAGACCGGCTAGTCCCGTACTAATCACAATCGTACACATCATTATCCAGGCACTAGACTAGGACATCTCATGCAACTACAAACGGCGACTGCTTGCCTCATATGCATCCTCGAGAGCGATTCAATATTGGAAACCGGTAACACTCCGAACCCTCCAAACTTCAACGGACTATTTTGTTAACACTGTGCAAAACTGTTAGAATAATTTTATATGAAGTTAGACAAGTTGTTACAAATTGTGCTATGCGTATTATGTGCGTTTGTCAATTGTTCGTAAGGATGCATATAATTACCTGCATTAATCATGACGGTGACATGAACATTGATTTTACCATTATTGTCTGTGGTGTAGGTCGCGGTGCCGGCCTCTGTGATCGCGATTTGGTTGGGGTTCACTATCACCTCTTTCCTACAGTCTAAAACGTCCTCCGACTTGTACAAGTCGTTATCTTGTCCTTCAGGCGCTTTACGGACACCATTAGGTAAATTTCTCTCATAGTATTTACTTTGGTCGTTCCCATTATCAAGTTGCGGTATTGGTACTGAACCAGGCTCATAATTGGACGCCGCATTAACGCCGAATAAGGGATTTGACATCTTCGGCGGGATATACGATACACTGTTATCATTTGTTTCGTAAATATCGCTATTTTTACTTGGCCGTTGATTGTAGGAATGTTTAGGCACCGCATAATCTACATTCGAATCGTAACTTTGGTTGGACGCCGCAGAGCCAGCAGATAAACGCTGATGCGGCAAATCGTCGGGTTGTAATTGATTTGCCGTGTTCTGGTCATTCTCCACACCATTTGTCAAACCCTGTAAATTACAAAATAAAATTATATTTTCCAATCCTGCGGAACATATTAACACGTTGTTATTAGCAGAATTGGATCCAATTGGGTTCTAATTCTGCTAATTGCAATGTGTTAATTTGTAAGTTAAGCAATATCTAAATATATCGAAACGTATTCTTATTTATTACTATTCTACATTACTTTTTCGATACCTATTATTCAGCCAATAAAAATCATGTTTACTGAGCTAGTATCACACAAATGTCATGTTTTATGAAATATTAATAGGATTTCACCACCTATTTTTACCCTGACATTAAATTCAAAAAGGTTTAGAACTCTTGTCTGGATTCAAGTAGTCTCACTCAATATAAAGAACCTATATATAAAGAACGCCGCCTACAACAGTATAAAGAAAAGTATAGTATCTATTGTTTTGTCAAAAATATGCTATTTTAAAAATAACTCTCAATTGGCAAAGGTTTCATTAGCCAAGGACTCACAAATAAAAATAAATTGTCGACATTGCTTAAAAATGGCACATGTTTCTATTATATTATATATTTTTCAATTTGCTATTACTAAACAATTTTTTTCAGCTGTTAACAAAACTCAGTGAAAGTTACACTGGAAAATCTCTCATCCGAATGATTTTAACTAAGATTTTCATTAATCACATCAAACTGTCCAATTGCAATTATTACTATACTTGGTGACTAGTGTTCGTTGTATTAAAGAAAAATAAATACAAAATGCAATCTAAACACTATATATATTTCATAATTTATGATTTGCCATGTTCCAAAATTACAAAATTTTATAATATATTAGACTAATTAAGTTTTTCTGTGGGCTGAATAAACAGCAACAACATTTTAATAGTTCAGACAATAAACTAATATTAGGATATGTAGATATAATAAATAATCATTGTAGGATTGTCCATTGTTCTGTTTCGTTATATGTGTCACAGTCTTTTGTCTGTGAATAAACGCCGTTAAGTAAACACATCTATTTTATTCCACTCCGCAATAGAACATTCTAGTATTTTTAATTAATAAACACGTAACTACGTATTAATTTAAGAAAAAAATGTAATAAGTAACATAATCGGTAAACTATTCCATTACTTCTAAATAACTATTCCATTATACTATACTATCTAAAATGAAATTTGCTACAAAAATATTTTGCTACATGTTTTTGTTGTGTACAGATAAGATTCAAACAATTGTTTCCTCATATATAGGGATAGATTGATATGATAATTATAGTATGTTGCAAAATATTAAAAAAAATATATATATCCACTAATTAAGTAAAAGAAACAATAAAAATGAGAAAAAATCATCACAATGAGTTAAAAACGTATCTGTATTACCTAATTTTATTTCGGAACCACGAATTCGATTAAATAACAATCGTTACTATTATATTTTTAATATATCACCAACATAGGAATTGACACCATAGGTTGCAAAAAGAATTATCGGAATCCGATCAGTTTTAAAATCTAAATTTATACTATAATAATAAAACTATTAATGCAATATTTTAGGCATTTTAAATAAGAAGAATACATTAAATAAGTTCAATTGCGTGAATTGTCGCTCTCTACCAGTTTTTCCAGTTAGATTTTCAACGTATATTTAAAACATAGTCTTATCTTCGCCAATACTTAATCCAATATTCTATTATTTTCCTATACAAATTTTCTCTCTTTTTAAGTCTTTTTTGTGATATATAAACAGAACCTATCGTAATTTACGATCGTTCATATAACCACGTACCCGATAGCGTAATCCTAATACTTGCGGCTCCTTGCGCATTCGACGCAAGTTGTCGTGTGTCAAAAACATTATATCCAATGACATCGTCAGTGGTCAACACAGCACAGCACATAGCATGTTCACTTGGTCACGAAAAATCCTCCACAGAACAAATCACAAACACTTTATGTGGACACCATAAAGGAAGAATTGAAGTTCGAAGGGGAATTTTTTGATGTCAAAATGCATTATCGAGATGAGTGGATGGTAACGCGAGTGTGTGGTGCGTGCCGCGGTGACCACGCGGACTGGCGTGAACGCCTGACACGCGGACTGCTGGTGCCGTCCACGGCTGCGTCGGATCGCCGCCCCGGAGAGAAATCGCAGGAAAAATCATACTGACGGACGACACGATATATTATTCGCATACCGAGACTAAATACCTCAACGATGGGCAACAATATTGAACATCAATATTAGTATTGATCAATTAGAAAAAACAAAAAGGCAAATTGTGTATTTATTTTTCTTATTATGTAAAATACAATGGCATACGTGTATCATTGAGAATAAATAACATCAAAACATGTACCAAATAAACTATTTTCTTTCTTTCTTTTCTCAAAACAGTCGTTTATGAGTATCAGTAGCAAACTTTATGTTATCTCAATTTTGACGGGCTCGGTGATTTAGCACACAGCCTTCCCTCTGATGGTCGTGGATTTGATTCCACGCACTGTATAAACATTTGTATTTATGAGTATGATTGTTTGTATTGGTCTGGGTGTTTTCTATATATCCCCATAACAAGCCCTGCTAAGACTAGATAACGCTGTGTAAATTGTCTTCGGTCTTTAATATTTGACAAAATTGGAGTTGAAAAAAATATTTATAGTATATAGTTTCCATGAATAATCTCTACTAAACGTACCGATGAGTAGAACCCAGAACCCATTAAATTTATACATATGTAACAGGTGTCAGATAGACTGCCACAAATGACACTAAAAGGTAAGTTTTTTCCATGTTTTTATTGTACATGAGACGCATATAAATTGCATTTTAATGAAAGCATAATGTAAGAAATGTAGCACGCTTTACATCGATCGCTCCAATAAATATACTCAAGTGGAAATTACTACGAATTTACTTTTTAATGACCATACAAAATTGTATATAGTTGATAAAGATATTCACGATTTCATATATAATAATCTACACTAATATTATAAAGCTGAAAAATTCGTTTGTTTGTTTTTATGATGAATTTCCTGATTAGAATTGAATATGTGACACTTCACAGTGACTTTTGAAGCTAACAGAAAACGTCTACAATGCTTCTTATTTAAAAAAAAATGAAATGTTATATCACAGAATATATAATACAATATTTGATACCCGTGACCAGACGCGAGAATATTCGGAAAATTAACTATTATATAGCTATTGTCTGCGATTACGTCTTACCTTTTTTGAGATAAAAGATAGTCAGATGCAGGTTATTTATCCTTGGGATACAATCGATTCTCATCTCAAATTTAATTACGACTATAATGATAAATCTCAAGTAAGTGTCATGCAGACGAAGTTGCGCGGTTCAGCTAGTGGCCATGCCATCCTTTGGGAGTGCAAATGTATTTTTTATTGTAATAAATAAGACTCTTAAGTAGTAATGTAGTGAAATATGAAAAATGCTGGACGAACGAAAAGACATAGTACGATGTAGTGTAGATGATAGTTGTAGGTATAATTAATTATCTGAGTATAATGACTATCGTTCTCGCGTGGAAAGCAGAGAAAGTACCAAGCCAACCATATTGTTCAAGATATGCGAATTATGCTAGATATTTTATCTATTATATAATGGAAATTTGTGTCATTATTGTTGGTAAAATACAGCTATTTAAAATACGTGCATATTATTCTGTATCTATTAATATAAAATTTTGAAATATTTGGTACGTTTGTACTATGTGCTACGAAATGGATCAGTGTTTCAGATAAAACTTAGCACCTATAATAATCAATATCAAAACAAATTCAATTTTATGTGGACACTATAAAAGTTTTTTCAAACAGCTTTTCTGTAACTATATTATGTAATTGTTAAAAATATCTTCACATCACTTTACAATTTTAAATAGGCCCCCAAAAAAATTACTATTTCTCTATCCATGGCATATTGTTTTTTATGGTGAATAGTCCATTATTACATAGTATAAAATAAAGTCGCTGTTGATATCTGTCCCTACGTATGCTTAAATCTTTAAAACTACGCAACGGATTTTGAAGCGGTTTTTTTGTAATAGATACGAGTGATTCTAGAGAAAGATTTATATATATAATACATATACACCGGGGCGAGTAGCTAGTTATTCATAATAAAAGTTTTAAAAAAATTTAACTTTTATTATGAGTAACTATATAAGTATAATTAAAAATTTGTCGCAAAATAGTCTAATCAGTGCACCCTATAATTTCCACTATACCATGTTTTATGAAACTACTAAAAACAACAGAAATACAAAGGAAGATTTCTAGATCTCAAAAGGGCTGTCTAAAGCTGTTGTCGTTCTTGTTACTACCCTAATTACTTATAGAAGTTTTGTTACTGCAAGAAAAACAAAAAATATATATATACATGAAATTATTTATGTACACGACGGCAGCTAACGGGATTCAACTATACGACTATAATGGAACAGAATTATTTAATAACTCTGTGTTATAAAGCTAGTCTATCGAAACAAATATTTGGCTTACGCATCTGGAACGGATTCAACTTTTTAGAGCTGTATAAGGCATGCCGACAATTACAAGTACTTCACACACGAATTGCTTATATCTAGCCTCTTTTTTACTATAACTCTTACGTTTCTCATTTAATACTCGACGTCGATAAGATTAATTTGATATTTAGCAGATTTCAATAAAGGCTTTCATTATGACTATATTTTTATCCCCTAATATATATAAAACTTTATAAACTACTGGTAAAAGTAATACAAAAATTTTATTATCCCGAGTACAAACAAAAATCCGACAGGCATGAAAGTTCATGGGATTTAACCGTCATGCTTATATCTGACGTAAACATCCTAGTGATTATAATTGGAGGTAGAGATTGTTGGTAATGGAAGGGCATTAATAATAATCCCTACCTTCAATAATAATCAACAATGGTCATATCAAGTAGACCTTCATACGATTTCCCCTTGTTGCTGATCGCTGTTAATTTCTGGTGAATTTTTATGGGCTATCTTACTTCATTCTCATATGTCGCGGTGTTCGAGCGCAGGCGGGTCCACTATACTATTATCATCCACTAAACCACCCATTACTATTATTTCAATAGAATATTATCTGTTGATACTATGATACAAATATTGTTCTTCTTTAATAGATCGCATGCTTGATAACCTCACAAACGAAGTAACAAGAACCTAGACGTTCTTATAATCCTTTCCAAATTGATTACTCCAGATAATATCTTGTTCATTATGCGAATTGTCTTTCGCAATGGTTATGAAATGGTCATATTACAAATGTATTATTAAGTTTTTATTTTAACATAAAAATTACGACATAAGATCTAAAAATATCTACATACACATAATTATTGTATGCATTATTTTTAGAGTCATATTTGAAGACACTTATTTTTCGAACAGTTTTAGCTTTTTAAATAAGTCTTAATAAGACGGGAAGCCCTTAAATCACTTTATGTCCACCTTTGCAATCATAACGAAGATATTTCTTTTTTTTTCTGACATACATATATTTAATCTTAACAATAAAAAACATTTTCGCCACTTTCTACCACTAATGCAAAATGTGACTCTTGTTTGACTAGTAGTCTACAAGCGGCGATTAATATTTTTTAGATAAAATATGTGTATGTTAGAAAAAAAGAGAAATATTTTATATACCTATGTTTACATACATACTCGTAGACTGTACCGTAGTTAACATGCAACATCGCATATTGCATGAGGACCTAGAAATTCATCCGGCGCAGTGACCGAGCGGTCCCATAAACAAGCCGTTCTTACAATAACCACTCATTACATCGTTGAAGAAACGTCTAGATTTGATTCTTGATGTTCTGCGCCACATTCCGCCTGTTTATACGAACGTAAAGCATAGCCAAGTAGGCCTATGAGACTAATTGGAGGCCAATTAAGAGGCAGACTCGGTAAATAGCGCAAGCGACTGTGCTATTAACAATTATTACACTACTGTATTATCGGGACCTTTCATCATATTATCACGGTAAATATCTCGTATACAATTGTAAACAACCATGAAAAAAGTTAAAATCAGAAATACAGTGTTGTTTTATTTAAGAATAGATTTTATTGATGCACATGACGCATAAGACTCAATAGTGGCCTCAATGATCTGTTTGGCACACCGCCCTACTTCTGCTAGTGCGGGTTCTATTTTAGCATGACAGGAAAATTACATTCACGAGTATGATTGCATTGGTCTGGATATATTCTATGTATGCTATGTATATATTTATATAAACACGATTCTAAGTACATCAGTTGTTTAGTAACATGAGGCGTAGTGAATTATCCTGGCTTATTGGTATTATAGTTGCCAATGCTACATTACGAACACAAAGATAACAAACAAACATACTTGCCAATGAATTATTATTTTATATAATACTAGCTGTGCCCGCGGTTTCAACAGTGTGAAATTCATAGCCTATATGTTATTGTGATGTATATTGTAAAGTTTCATCATAATCCGTTCAGTAGTTTTTGCGTGAAAGAGTACAAACATCCATTCATACTCACAAACTTTCGCGTGACAAGTGTTAATAGCATTCTCAGCGAATCTCACCGTCAGGATATTATATAGAAATATAGGCAGGAAGCATTAAGAGGCAAGCTAATTAATACTTATAAACTTCATTGTTAATATTAACTCAATAAGTACTTAGAAAATAACAAGCTGTATATTTTATAGAATTTTTTCTTGTGAAAATTGTTACATGTGAAAATTACGCAATTTGCAGATTTTGAAAGGTAGATAACCTAAAAATCCATCCGTGAGTGATAGTGATATAGTTAATATAACGAATTCATTAACATAACACCGCCGTAGTTCATTAAGGGGAATTTATCGTAATTGTTTAGCTTTCGTGCGGCTAATCACCTTAATTAAAATGTACGGCTTTTAGTGAAATTACAAAACAATAACGGTTGTTAATTAATTCCTTTATTTTCATAGTTTTCTTATAGAATAAATCATTTTTACATATAATAAAAGCGTTCAATCGTGACTAGGTAAAAACTAATTCCGATTGTAAGTTTGTATATTAAAATTTTACGCAAAAACAGCTGGAGTAATTAGTTTGAAATTTTCAGAGAAAACTATATTCAATATAGATTAACAGATATTCAATATTCATTAGAACTTATTCAATATAGAACTGAAAATACAATCATAAAGGAGGGAAAACAAATAATTTTGTTAGTTATTAGTTATTTAGTTTAGTTTAATTAAAAAAAATTAAATACGCTATCTACTATTTTATAAATAAAAGTTATTTTCAATCTATTCCAACGCTGTTGGCAGCAAATGGGTGTTACAGTTTTACTGGACGAAACCAATAACTTTAATTCTTAATAATAATAATATTACACAATTTACACAGCGCTACTACTCCCAGGTTAAGAAGAGCTTGTGTTATGGGTACTAGGCAACTGATATAAATACATGGATACATTTTTTTGTAAATACATAGATAATAGACACAGACCGATACAAACAATCATACTCATGAATACAAATATTTGTACCAAACGAGGAATTGAACCTGCGATCGTTGGATATAAGGCGGTGTGCGATGCTAAAATGCTAGACCACCGAGGTCGTCAAATAAAAACTATTTTGTTTTTAATAGATGTATTAGTTTCGCATTGAATTTCAACTGAATTTCGCACTGTGAGAAAAAATAATTAAGGAAAACTTAAAATTAACAGAAAGTTTTAATTATTGTATTAAGCATACTCATAAATTTGCGTATAAGTAGGCGTAAAAGAACAATTATTGTAATTTGTTAAGTAAATACATTCGGATTAATGGAAAGCATTACACAACGTCCGTTTATACGAATGCATGATGCGTGAGCGTGTCGCTATTATACTTTTCCTTTTTTCTGTTTAGAAATTTTTCAGGCCTTTACGTACACAACAGTGCAGACAACTGACAAATCTCTCACTCTCTCTTAAAAAAATATATTGTTCCCGAAGATATTTAAGTGAGAAACTTTTTGCATTTGAATTGTTTATTTAAAGTTACTTCCAATTAAATCTGATTTTTATATAAGTACATAAATGAAAATATAAATAAATATAAGAATTTTCGAAAATTCTAGTGATAACCTTATCAAAATCCGTTGTGTGGTTTAGAAGTAAACGGAGAAACTGGCAGACTAAATTAGAGATTTTATATATTCCAATGGAAACACATTCCCGTATTACGAACAAATCTCGTCCCTCCTAGCAACTAGGCTCTTTTAATTCTAGTTTATATTTACAATATTTATTTTAAACTACTAAATTAATTTTGAATTTACATCGACTAATATCACTACGCACATCAGCATCGGATAATATTGATGAGAGCTGAAACACGATACTGTTCGGTCGTCATTAGCCTATACTGATAGGCATTTAGTCTACACTTCAGGAATCAAATAATCAATTCTGGTGCAATGACGTCATCGAAATTGGTAGCAGGTGCTTTATGTCAGGAGACTATTAGTCTATTAGAATCAAGTGACGATGGGATCGACTCTCTTCTTGATCGTTCCCTCACTGCTGAGGATCGCGACTCTACATGATCTTGTCGACTAGTTGTCGCCATCGGTTAGGTAAAAATACAAAAGAAGAAGGTAGTCACATACTTTGAAATATTTATATGTACTGTACATACATATTTCTTTTTTAAATAAATTATAGAAACGGGTATTCTTTTGCGAAAAATTTAACGTAACTAAAATGGAGGCTGATTCCCGAACGGCCACCACTAGCGTTAAAACTCGTATCGATAAATTGCCTGATATACTAATTCAATATTTTTCTTCAAAAACCTCAAAAGTAGACTAAGTAAGCCCGTTTTAACTATGTATTTATTTACTCTAAATGCTACAATGCAGCATTTAGAGTAAATAAATACACAGTTATGCATATTAAGTATTTTAAACAGAGTTTAACATAAAATGAGTTAAGTTTGAACTAAAAGAATAATACAAGCGTAACGAGGAAAAAGCTCCTTATGTGGACGGTTCAGCATTAGAACCAGGTTTAGTTAGCTAGATCAACAAATGATGCACAGAAAGTAAACAACAACTTCGAACAATTTATAGAATAAAAAATACGATATATAAATATGCTTGTATATAATCCTTGCTGTTTCAGTCTACATTACAAAGTTAATAATATTAGATGACAAATACGTCGTAACCTGGTGTACTAGCGCTATATTATGCACTGAGTCAATAATTCATTGATTATATTTTAACCATATCTAACATTCCTTGTATTTAGTATTTGACTTTAAGAACATTCATACATAAAATGGTCTACTACAACAATATTGATATTATATTACTTATTATATACCAGCCTATAAATGTAACATAAGCAATAAATAAATTATCGTCATTATGATTGGATTCGACGTACTCCTGAAACATTTGAAACACCAGGGGTGTCAAGTGCGCGTTACGACCTTTAAGAAACTTATGATCTCCTTAAAAAATACACTGGCCAATATGACACGTTTGGCTTGTATTTAAATCTTATTTCATATCGTATTTCGTTGAATTGCTCTTTACATAATGAATTATCAAATCAATAATATAAAATCAAGACAAAACAAATCAAATTTAAAATATTATATCTATAGCTATTAAAAACAGAAATACATAGCAAATGGTCTGTGGACCTAATCCTAAGTTGTTACTGACCTGCAATTCATCGTCCACCGCAGAGTCGAAAGTCTCCCGAAGTCTTGCTTCGCCTCTGGCATCCGCTTTTGCCGCCAACTGTTTCTCTCGCAACGATGTTCTTCGTACTGAACGTACCCTGCACATAAAAATTGAAAATTTTAATCATACATTTGCGTACTGGTCGCGTGGATAATTGAGGATAATTTTATGTCCATGTATTTCTTGATACAAATATATATACGATATTTTATTACGGTAAATACTTCAACCAAGAAGAGTAGTTAATTCAATTTTAAAAGATAGTCCATAACTTCTGTTCGTATTTTTATAGACATTCAAATAGAGAAAAGAGTTTTTCTATTCGATTTTGTTTCTTATAAGCAACAAAAACTAGTAGTCAGATAATCATTATAAACAGATAGTATTATTAATAAATGAAATATATTTAAAAAATAAAATAGTAATGAGGCAATTACTTATTAATTCGTCGCCAAGGTAAAAATAAGTTAACATTAGTTGAATAAGAATTTTAAATATATATACTAAAATTAAACTAAAAACATTCTTTACAAATTTACGGTATACGAATCGAATAGTTTTAGCCAAATGCTGGTAAAAAGCAAAAACTTCATGTTTGAATCAAGAACATAGTGAATGTAAACGAGATATATTACAGAATACACGGCTCGTTTTTGTTTAACGTAGCTAAAAAGTAAAATAGTTTTTCTTATTCGAAACAACGTATTTCTTATATTATAACAGAGATAATACCTGCTGGTGCTGGCGGTGGACGAGGAGCGCCTGGCGGCGGCTGCGCGGTCGGATGGCCGCCGCCGTCTCTCCTCTTGTTCCACCGCCAGCCGTAAAATGCGCCCGCGCATCTCACCCTCCTCGCATATATCTGCATCAAAACGATTGTATACAGGGTTAGTCGTAAAGGGTATAGAGAGCCCCGGCACTGTAACATTTTACCAATAACTAATTGATTGAAGAAGCAATTTTTTTAATAAATATAATATTACTGCAGTTTCACCCGCCTGAAATTTATAGCCTATATATTCTATTCTTTGATATTCAATCAAAAACAGCTGACGTTCTTGATTAGTCTAATAAGTAATATATCATTTATAAATTATAATAGTATGTAATCAAAAATAAGCAGGACCCCGATTTTCATTCATAAAAACTATGACCTTACATATTTTCCAATTATGATAGAGCTAATGACATCTGATGTTAGGGCTGTGTCTTATTATCTTTTCTTATAAATAAACTTTGAACCCATTTTTCTCGATAAATTTATATGGTTTCAGGGAAAGTTGTAGAACAATAGTTGTATTTGCCATGGTTATTTCCATATCTTTAGTATATATACCCTTTCCAACGAATATATTTATTTTTGTTGTAAATTAGAAATAAATAATAATAATTAAATAGAAACAAGTATTCCGAGAACGGATATTTATCGAAGTGTTCAAGAAGGTGATGGAGCAAAATTGTAAAAGGACAAAACTATATTAAAGCTTAAATACAAATTTTGATTATTTATTTATAATATTTTAGACATCATTTAAAATAAAAATACATAGCGTTTTATTATTACTTGCGATTTTTATTGATAAACAATCTGCTAGTTACCTAATTTTAATTTTATTTTTTTTATATTTCTACAAATCATATATATATAACATAACTATATCATATAGACTAACATAACTATGAATTAATGTTAAATCTATATAGCCTTTACTTTATAAAATCCTGTATGTTTTTGAATGAAATAATATTCTCAAGTTTTATTAACGTATATTATTCATTTCGAGATGTTAGCGAAATTGTTATTTACACTACACATTATCTTGTTCATGTATATACACAAAGACTGTCACTTAAAATCAATAGTGTCGCTTGGCCTTTCCAGTCACATAAACAAAGTTTTACGGAATTTGTAAAATAAAAAAGAGCACATTAAAAGCAGAAAGAGAGTATGACAATTCTTACCTGCTGGCGTTTCATCGTGCTTATTTCTTACGTTGAGATCGGCATTATATTGTACTAATAATTCTAATACTTCTAACTGTAACAAAAAAATATATATTTAATATAAAATCACGATACAATTATTACAAACATTTTCTACTTTTTACATTTCCAGCTATTAAAACCTATATCCTGGAGTGTATCTTTGTACGCCTGTGAGACATAGACATAAATTTAAAAAGACAGGGACAAACATAAAGTTTTTGAAATATGTTGGAGAAGGATGGAAAAAATTAGATGGAAAGAAGAAATAAGAAATTAAAAAGATTTTATGAAGATTATTATTGAACGAAGTCATATCAAGCAAATTAAGAACAAAGTTGGTGTTGAGTTGTCGATAACAGTGTGTGTGTTACATTATTAATGGAGGAACATTTGTAGTCTTATGATTAGACTAGATTAGTTACGGAATTCAGTATTACAGGTACTCATAAAGTTATTCAAAAAATTACGGACATTACGACGTGATGTCCATGATGCTATTGATGTATATATGCAACGATTATTTACCATCAGGTAGGTTTTACCATTCCAATTACTTTAAAAAGATACAAAACTAGTTCGACGATTAAAATTAGTATTAAAGTGGATAACAAAAGTCGATGACAATTGGACGGCCTAGGTGGTCCAGCAGTTTAGCACAACGCCTTACTTCCGATGCGGGTTCGATTCCTCGCACGGCACAAACATTTGTATTCCTGAGGATGATTGTTTGTATCGTTCTCCATATTTTTTATGTATAATATGTATGTACGAAAAAAAACTAAGTATTTGGATCAGTTATCTAGTGCCCATAAGCTTTAGTTAGATTAACTTGAGTCTAGATGACGCTGTACGAATTGTTCTGAGATTATTATTAATGACATACATGTCCCCAGCATGCGGCGGCGTGCACTGGCTGCCACATGTCGTGGTCGACGACGTCGGTAGAGGCGCGGTGCTCCAACAGGAACTCTACCACCTTCATGTACCCATTCGCTGACGCTATGTGCAACTGTAAACAACATTATAATTGTGTTAAAAAAAAATAATTACGACCGTAATTAATTTTACAATTAGTAACTCTATAGACAAATAGTATTAAATACAAACAATATTAATCTATTCTCGATTTGCCCATAGATATGAGTGTGTTCATTCTTATGTAGTGAAGAACTATAATTCTATATTTAACATTTTTAACGCTGAAATTTTATTAAAGTATCTGGTCCGTAATTCGACCAAAATACAATGCTTAAAAGAACAGTAACTTGTATTATATCAGCGTTATTAATATTACACCTGGCTAGTGAAGCGGTTCTGCATACTACATTTTAAAGTTATTGTATGTAGAGAATAGTTTCCACTACTAACTACAAAACAAATTCTACAAATTCTTTTATGTAAAGAAGACATGTATGGCTAAGATTTTGTATGTTTTCCATGGAAATGACAAACGATATATGATCCAGGTAAATCCGCAGGAAAACCAATAGATTGAATACCATTACCTACTTAAATAACATACATTTACTGTAAAAACAAATACTAAAATACACTTACTAAAGTAGCTCCCTGATTATCCCTCGGCTCGTCCAAATCCATTCCTTCCTTCACTAGCTCTGCCACATCCATCAACATCTTCATTTCGGTCGCCGCTCGTGTCTCGTCTATTAACCTCTGTGTTACTCCCCTAGCTGCCATTTCGCTCTCGATCGCATCTAACGTCCTTTCTTCTTCACATATGTCGTATGGCATATTTCCATCTCCGTTGACCGCTAATAAATTGGCCCCTCTTTGTATTAGTATCCGGACAAGGTTCAGGTTTCCGCAGGTAGCTGCCGCGTGGAGGGGCGTCCATTTTTCGCTATCTTCGGCGTTGACATTAGCACCGTTGTCGAGTAGGAGCCGCATCATCGCTTCGTTGTTGTCGATGCAGCATTGGTGAAGCGCTGTGAGGCCATCTTCGTTCGTTGCGTCCGGCGTAACACCTCGCGCAAGTAGCCGTCGCACTGTAATTATATTTTTTTATATATACAATAATATAAGAAAAATATACTACTTCTTTACAAATCTGAATAATAAATTAACGCAATGTACATCGTTTCCTAAACATCTATTTGAAAATAACAAAAATGCCAACTTTAAGATTGTTTTTACTGTAATCAGAGATTTACATTTACGCGTAGTCGGTCTGATGGGATGAAGATAGGGTAACGAATACTCTGATTCACTAAAATCTCTTATTCACACGAATTCAACTATTTTACTCCAGGGTGGCTCCAACCCCAAATATACCCTCATTTTCGTTGCACTCTATTCTTCTATCAACAATTTAACTTCAATTTACTACTAGAGAATTGACTAATTCTCCATAGCAATTTTCATTCCCTATTTCACAACATGTCAGATTATATTTTGAGATATAAGTTATCCAGTGTCCGGCCTCATGATATCAATTCGTCTCCATATCAAATTTCATTAATATTCATTTAGCTGCTTACTGATGAAAATATAACAATCAATTAGTGAGATACTTTCGTATTACTACTGTTATTATGAAAGTATGAATTCATCATGATTCTATAATTTCTGAAATATATTTTACCTTATATAATATGACCGATGTGACGACTCTGTTTGACGTGATATCTATATTTATCGATATTTTGTAATATGTGCTCTAAAATTATTTGTATCTTAGACTGATGCTGTAAGTATATTATCTAAAAATGCTAAATATAGAAAAGTATGATTGTATATATTTAGACATGCTAAATAACAAATGTACATATATTCATTTACATTCTATTTGGATGTATAAATATTAATAATGTGTATATATGTATATTATTAACAGGTTTTGTATATACTTATTTATATTACTACCTAACTATACTGTATCTACTGGAATAAGAAAAATAAATAACATGTACATATGAAATATTCAAGATTATGTATGGTCCACTCTCTCATCTATTATGGTCTTCTATCTCATTCTAAAACCATTCTGACATCTTCTAATTCCTCTCTATTTTTTAATACTCCTTGTATAATGTACGCGTATGTAGGACATACATATATGCGTATATGGTAGGTAATTATTAATATACAGCCATGACGGTTAATTATTGCCATTGTAACGACACGGGTTTCTTCAATTGACCATATTAGAACTAATGCATATCATGTATTGTATACGTGAGAAATACATTACTCGTGCTAACATACATACTACCAACTAGAAGGATTTGTCTTCTGTACTTTTTTAAAAAGTTCAGCCTAACCAAACCTAAATTCCGCCAACACTAAGCTAGTCTAAAACTAGGACTTAATTCAGTAATTTTAAAAAGATATTATGCTCGATTGTTTTTTTTTAGTTTACACGGCGGGGGCAACACCCCGATATAGGATTCGACCCACAATTAATGAGTGACAGAGACTATTAATAATGGAAACGTCAGATTGTCCTTAGGTCATGAAATTCAGATGGTTCTAGAAACCATCGTAATTAATTGATTCGTCATGATAGACATCATGATCATCCGTTATCATCCTCCACTGGTCTCCATCAGCGTATACCTTAACGCCAGCGATTGAACCACACCATTATTATGCATTAAAAAATACCCGTTACATTTCACCTTTCCATGCCCGCAAGAGACAAAACATCATTAACATATCAATAGAGCTATAATACACGTTAGATATACAATTAACGTAATATACTCTAATTGGGTTTTATTAAATTAGAAACATTCGAGGTAAGAGTGAATAATAATACTAGTGCAAGTGAAACTTGTGAAGTCTCCGCATATTTTTGAGATACTAATTTATCTACCGAAAGTTTACTAATAGCAACATCATAGAATAACGAACACTGCTAATGTTGAAAAGCTAAAGTCAAGAAACACAACCAACACATAATTTTTAGGATTTTAGGGCGTCTATGGATAAGAAACATACATATCAAGGTTTGTTGAAATTACAGAATAAGAGGCATGACATGTTAGTCGACAGGAATGGCAACGAATATGTGGTTTTACTGGTGGGTGCGCTATTCCATTATCGTCCATAAAAATATATTCTTTAGTTCTGTTTTCAAAAAAGTAGTATAATCATACCTTCATCGATATCATTCCTCGCAGCGGCTTCTAGCAACATAACGCTGTCATTGAAGTATATGTTACGTTTCGTGCTCTTCTCCCGTTTGGGCCTCGAGCGCGCCCACTCCTTCTCCCGTTGCTGCCATATCTTCAGTTGATTAATACGACGTCTGCAATTGAAAATATATTTTTTAGGGATGGTTTATAGTACTTGTACATTTGCACGTATCGTCCGGTGAAGCTAGTCCGGAAAAAAGTATACATATATATAAACTGACAAAGCAATCTATTATGGGCTACAAAAACTGAAAGATGTTTTGTCTTATATAGTTCGCATAAACATAGAAGACCATCAGAGTTTTATTAATGGTCCATGAAATGTTGCACCCGCCTGTGCCATACGCTGGAGCCTGTGCCTACACCTTGAGCATACTGGGAAATAAAGTCAGGTGAGTCAGTCCATCGTGACGAATTCATCAGGAATTAACTAAGATGTTTTCCAACAACCGGTACCGCAGCCTATATACATGTACAGTACTACGGATGGCGCTTTACGTAACTCATGCGTTGCCTAAAGAACTAAGATGACATGACTCTGAATCCAGCAATTTAACGGCTTATCACCCTTTAACAAAAAGCCATCTAACAAAGAAGGAAGAACATAAGTAAGAAACAAGCAGGCGACTTTGCATAAAGTCTACTTCGGCCAAAGTACCATATATAATTAGTGCAAATTACTAAAAGTATAAATCTATAGGTTACTAATGTCCTTGTAGCAAATATAGGTATAACGTACAATGTACGTAAGTGGTGCACAGTCCATTGACGCCAGTTACTTGACCCACAACCCATTCCATGAGACATATATATTGACACAATTGATATACAATTGACGTTGCGCCCTGCAAATAATTGCTACGTACGTACTCTATTGCCAATCTAAACAATATTAAGTAAGTATATACTCTTAACGCGTAAGGACATACTAATAAATAGATAAAAAATAACGCAAATTTTAATCATTCTAAACCAGGTTATTGATTGATTGACATATAACGCCTTTACTGGGTATAAAATTAGTATGACAGCGACATAGAAACAAACTATATCGACTGGAAAAATAATTAAAATGATGATGAATTTGTGCCAAACACATTTAAAATTCAAGAATTAAAGAATCCTTATTCTTGTAGGTTATTTTGTTAACTTATGCAGGTCAAGTATATTTTATTAATGTTTCTTCCGTCATTGCTAATATGTGATATAAAAAAGATGGAAGGGTAGCCTTCCATTTCCACCCAGACAACGAATTATTCCTAAAGTCTCCTTTATACAAAATAGTCAATATATTCTTAGGGGACATCAATATAATATAATATACATAATCAGATTAATAGACTATCCATAATATTGTTACCATACAACGTTCTCAGTAATGTCTCCTCAAAATATTTCAATCAATAATTCAATCATATGTGCGACATGACTTTTATGGATCACTTTAGCAATGGGGTTATTCTCTTAACAGCTAACTGACATGCAATCGTAAAAAGTGAAAACAGGGTTTCACTTGATATCAGGCAGTTTGTTTCATAATGCTCATTGGTAACAGGTAGTTAGTTAAAACTGTATCTCTAATCTTAACATAGAAAAACAGAACTATATATACCAAAATAATACTCATTGGTAGTAAGCAGATTGTTTGAAAACTGTATCTCTGGTGTTAACGTATAAAAACAGAACCATAAATCCCAAAATTCAAACAATGTGTCAGTAAAATTGTATTTCAAAGCCAAATATACATTTAAATGTAAAATTTTCTCTTTTCTTTATTAAATAAAAAGTAGATAAATCGCAATAAAATTACCACAACCAATGAGATAAAAAATAAGATAAGATGTCATGGAACGTCCCAAACAAGAATCATTTATACAAAGATTCTCTCGTAGAGAAAAAAACAGGAATTTCTGACGCCATTAATCAATTTGCCGTTGCCTAATCAGCCAGGCAATTTGGTTACAGTACATTCCCAAAATAATTAACCAGTTTATGACAGGACAGGCGGGTACACCACGCTAGGCGGCGGAGATTGGATGGAGGTCGCCCGTTGGTATTTAGCATTAAGCTTAACAGTAGGTCAGTGGGCTGGAGCCTAGTAATAACGACCACGGAAACAATTGCACACACGGACACATATGGAAACCAGTTTGACATTATTACTTACTTAATCGTGTTCCGATTTATCCATAGTAATATTATAAATGCGATAATATATCTGTCAGTCTGTTTGTTTCATTCTCTATATATAGATGACTAGCTGTACCCGCGACTTCGTCCGCGTAAAATAGTGACCTTGACCAAATAATGAAAAAATATTTAATGACCTAATCCAATAAAAGCCAAATGAAGAAGTTTCATCGATTCATCTTCAAAACTGACGACACTTCCATACATAACTCTTTCAACCCCTTATAACCCTTCTATCGCATTCAAAAGTAGCCTATGTCCTTTCTCAGGGTCTAGACTAACTGTGTAGCAAATTTCATTTAAATCGGTTCAGTAGTTTTAGCGTATAAGTGAGACTGACAGACAGACAGATAAAGTTACTTTCACAGTTATAAAATTAGTGGGGTATTTTATAAACTAACCCTAATCAAAAAATATGAATGTGGATGGATGTAAAGGGAGGGGACGCCCTAAGAAAAGATGGATGGATTGTGTGAAAGATATGAATGAAAATGATATGAATAAAAGAAGAGTATGTTCAGATATGACGACCGATAGAGAGCAGTGGAAGAGAGTGCCATACTGCGCCGACCCCAAATAATGGGATAAAGGCAAGGCAATGATGATGATATTTTATAAACTAACCCAAAAAAGCCAATGGAAAAAGTTTCATAGATCTGGCTTCAAAAATTACGAATTTACCTAATATCTTTCATCCCCTAATTTATTTGACCCCCTCAAGAGTAATGTTTTACAAACTTTGAATGTCATATTAATTTATATTTAATCAACAGCCTCAAAATTAAGTTTCAAGCTTCTAGCTTCAAAAATGAATTTACATAAAAATATTCATCCCCTATTTTATTTTACCCTCTTAAGGGTAACATTTTTATAAAATTTTATGACCTATTTATTTATATTTAATCAACAGCCTCAAAAATCAGTTTCTAGCTTCAAAAATTACAAATTTACATAAAAACTTTCATCCCCTATTTTATTTAATCCCCCCCCCTCCCCATTTTGACCCCTAACCCTACCCCTATGTTTTTTAATTGTAAGATTTTTACAAACTTAGTATGCCATATTTATTTATATTTAATCAACAGCCTCGAAAATAAGTTTCTATCTTCTAGCTTCAATAATAACGAATTTACATAAAAAAATTATCCCCTAATTTATTTAAACCCCTTTAGGGGAAATTTTTTTAAAAACTTTGTATATCATATTTATTTATATTTAATTAGCAGCCTCAAAAATAAGTTTCAAGCTTCTAGCTTCAAAAATGACGATTCTTCCATACAATCTTTCATCCCCAATTTCAACCCCTTACAACCCTTTTTTCGCATTAAAAAGTAGCCTATGTCCATTCTCAGGGTCTAGACTATCTGTGTACCAAATTTCATTTAAATCGGTTCAGTTATTTTTGCGTGAAAGCGAGACAGACAGACAGACAGACAGACAGAGTTACTTTTGCACCGTCTGTTTTTTTTTAAATAAATGATAGCCTGCGTCCGTCCTCTTGCAATCTATCTTCACGTCAAATTTACGGTAATAAAAGGTGACAGATGCATAGGTAAATTTTTGAAACAATAACCAAACTGCATTTTGTCGTCATAGTTATTTGAAGTACCCATTAATTACATCGGTGAAGATTAATAAATTAGGACGAAATCAGATCACTTAGCTCATCATGGCGTAGGATCTATACAGATTCAACGTGTTAATACTAGCAATTAAATCTCCATATATATATAACCTTAACTATACTAATAATCTCCAAAACAAACCACTTGGAGGGAATAAAGACAAACGTACTAAGTACGTAACAAAAGTGCCCAGGTACATTTATACCTTAGTGTTAAAAAGTCAATGTAATAATCAATACTATCTGATATGGCCAATAAAGGTCGATATATAAATAAGTGTATGTATCCACTGGAGCTAGCTAGGAAATGGTTCAATGTTCTTAGGCGAGGATGCCGTTGAGTTTATCGATATACCTATTCCCCGACATAAAAGGAGGTAAATTGTTTATTGTCGCTTCAATGCCTTTGGCAAGCTGTGTCAACCTCTTCTACTTGACAAGTCTTTATAAATTCCTTATAATAACATTGAAATAATATTTATATGTAGAATTACATTCTACTGCAGGTGTATGCCGTACAGTGATATTTTGATATAAGTACATTCACTTGTAAATATTTTGTGCAGTTATAAATGTTTAACCTTTTTAAAAATATGTATAGTAACAACTGCCAGAAAGACACTTTAACAACTGTATTACGAATATCACGTGCTCTACAAAATGGTTACACGTGACTCTACCATAACATATCATACTTCAATATGACAATTCTTTAGAGCCTCATAAATGTTGATGAGATGAGACACGAGGTCATGGTCTGTACTTATGATCGTATATAAACTATAATAAAATAGTAACGATCGATAATTCTCTACTCCCCGTGAACTTATTCGCAATTAGTTATTGACATTAAAAATTAGCAAAGTAACAAAAAATGGTGATTTGTTAATTGATAACGAAAATATTTATGAGCCCGACCCGGCTTCGCACGGCTGAATTAGTGGGATGAGTAGTTTTTGAATTTATTCGTATTAAACATACAAAACTTTCCTATTTCTAATATCAGAAACAGCAGATATTCTAATATTTTGTAATTATTACTAGCTAACCTGTCATACGTTTTTTGCCATATAATCAGTTATCGACCGTCGATACTATAAAATTATTAAAATGGTTATTACAAATAGAAGTTGACCATCAACCCTTATTTTTCATAAGAGGCTGAAAATTTGGCTGAAAATATGATTTTTTATAAATTTTGTCCTTGAAATAAAAAAAATTGCGATGGACCACCCTTATTACTTAGGGATATGAGAAATAGTTTACGACTTATTCTCAGACCTATTAAGTAGGTCTGAG